GTGAGATTTTCCGCTTTTTGTTAACTTGTCACCAGCTGATTGATACCTGGCATTACAGTAAGAGGTTTAACAGATTCCTGAATTCGGTCACATTTGTCCAAATCTGTGGGATATATCATAGAGAGGATCATAAGGCTATTAAGATAATAATTGGTTTTCTAGGATTCTCAATCCACGTAGCTTTGGGACTTGAGAGTGGGAAAGTATTAAAGAATTCTCATTTTTTGGTAAAGTAGGAAATCAAGTCATTTTTAGAGTTTAGCACAGGGTGGTAGGAAAAAAACACCAGGCTTTTATTTAGATCATTTGTGTTCAAATTTGACTATATGCCTATCTGGTTGTGTAATCTTATTTAAATTACAGAACTTCATCAAAGTCAGTTTACTAATTTGTAAAAAGTAGATAATAATACTTCCTCACAACAAAACTTTAAAAAAATTTCTTTATTGATTAAGATATCACATATTTGTTCTCATTCCCCCATTCCCATCTCAAACCCCTCCCAACGTATGCCCCCACTTCCCTGTTGTCCGTGACCACTGGTTAGGCTTATATGCATGCGCACAAGTCCTTTGGTTGATCTCACCCCTTTCCCCCACCCTTCCCTCACAACATAGCTTTTGTATTTGATGAGATACTATATGCGACATATAGTAGGCATTTAGAAGTGAAGTTAGTGAAATCTGAACCTGGGGTGTATTAGGTGGCCTTACTGAGGTTTTCTTATATGTTTGTGTATTTGTATATATGAGTGAATGCACATGCGCGCGCGCGCGCGCGCGCGCGCGCGCGCACACACACACACACACACACACACACACACACACACGCGTCAGTCTATCTCCATCCCACATCTTGTTTTCAGTAAGATTTATCTAGTTATATGTTTGACAGTTAACTCTTTAGAAAAATTTTTTTAATTGATTTCAGGGAGGATGGGAAAGGTGGGAGAGAGAGAGAAAAAAACAACATCAGTGATGAGAGAGAATCATTCATTGATTGGCTGCCTCCTGCATTCCCCACACTGGGAATTGAACCATGACCTCCTGGTCCATAGGTTAATGCTCAACCACTGGGCAACACCAGCCAGGCAATTGACAGTTAACTCTTAAATGTATTGGATTAATCAGAGCTTTTAAATTATCTTAAAGTGTAGTTTATTGTGAAGACTTGTTAGTAGCTGCTATAAATTTGTCATTTGCTTGTCAATCTTTCAGTTTCTGACAATGTCACCACTTTTGCTTACATCATCCAAGCTGAGAACCTTAGCGTGACCTTTTCTGCTTTCTCTTTCCTTAATAATGTTGCTGCCCAGCAGTTTATTTTTATCAAAGCTAATATTGCATAAGATTGCTGAAATTGATGAAGGGTAGAAAATGTATTACTGTAGTCAACTATTACTGAGGTGCTACTCAGGCCCTTATTGTGTCCATTTATACTCAGAAATATAATGTAATCTCAATGTAAAGTGTTTTTACAAAGTTAATTCTTATTTTCTGATGTTCCTCTAAATGGTAAGCTTTTACCTGGATGGTGTGGTGAAGAGCTTTTGGTATTTCATTATCAGCAGGATACCAGGTGTGGGAAAACAAAAAATCCCAGCAGCCTGCATCTGAGGATGCAGTAGATTGAATTATTATTTAACAAATATTCATTCCCTGTCCCCACACCCACCCACCCACCCTGGCTCCCTGACAGCAGTATGTTCCCTCTCCCCATTGCTTTTGGGCTTGGGCATGTGACTTACCAGGATCAAGGAATGTCAGTGGAGATATCAGTAGCAAAGGCTTGAAATGTGCTTGTGCATTAGGATTTGGTATTCTGCGGAATCCCAGGAAACCAGCAAAATGTGAGCAAGAAAGAAGTGGTTACTGTGATGCGTTTCTGAGTTTGAGGTAGTTTGTTACATGCATATTGTTGTGACAGGAGCTGATGAGTACAAAGGGATTCTGATTTAAAGATTTTCTTTGGGCATTGATTTGGGAGCCTCAACTTTCCCTGTAGAATCATAAGTTTCTTGTTGGATTGCACCTGTTTTAATGCCAATGTTGTGTCTCTGGTCAGTGACAAACTGTTCAGGATTGAAAGCTCAGTTACGAGGACTGCTCACAGTTCAGATCTGGCAGAAGAAGGAGGCTGGTTGACTCTGGTTGTCTCTGCAAACCTGTCTGTACTCGGTAGTCATTTCTAGAAGGTAGGCCAGTGGCTCTGTCCTTGTTGGGGAAAGTCCTTATGTTTCCTCAGTGGTGGAAGGGCAATGAATACACAAATATAGGCTATTTGTGGAAAGAGCCAAGATCCTATTAAAATTCTGTTATGTCTTAAGAAGCAAACATAAAGGAATCCAGAGGAGGCCGAACAGCTCTTTAAAATAATGATTGTCTTGGGCTAATTTCTTCACTGTGCCTCCAGCACCATTAGGTGCCAGTCCTACTGTGTAGGTTCATTTGCAAACAAAACTGAGTAGAGAGGAGGCTGGTACATGATACTTCCCAAAGCCAGAGCTTTCAGACACCTGCCCATTGTTTGAAGCATTAACCCCAGCAGCACCTATCTAGGAAAAAATAGGGAAAAACAAGATTGTTTATTTCCAAAGCTTTGGGACCCATCCTTTCAAAGAGAACACTGGCCAAAAGAGAAAAACGGATATTGTGTAAAAGCTCAGAAGGTTTTCGGAATTTCCTTTTCTTGCCCATTATAAACATGATTTTTCCCTTTGCTCTGAGCTCCCCCCTCTGGCATTCATGGTATATTTCTCTTCTTGTGATCACAAGCTTCAAAGCTCCCCCACCATGTTATTTTGCTAACCCTCTAGAGCAGTGTTTTTCAACCTTTTTTGGGCAAAGGCACACTTGTTTCATGAAAAAAATCACGAGGCACACCACCATTAGAAAATGTTAAAAAATTTAACTCTGTGCCTATATTGACTATATATAAAGTAATTCTCTTGAATAGGAATCAAATAAACACAAAGAAAGTATTTTATAATTACTTTATTATGAAATATTAAGTAAACAAAATAGTGAAAAATTATAAAATTCTTGTCTTGTCTGCACCTACGGCACACCAGGCAACATCTGTGCCGCGGAACAGCGGTTGAAAAACGTTGTGCAGCGATGGCAGGGGCTGCTTTTATGTTCTAGAGTTTGGGAGGTTGTGGATTAAGGGACGCAGGGGACTGCCTGCAACATTTATTAACATTTAAATCAGTGCAGTAAAAATCAGAAACCCAGTGCGCTGTTGACAGTTGCTTTAAAGATACTTTGAGCTTGTTTGACCATGTTTTTAGGCTTGTGTGCCAGGAATGAAATGAAGTGCCTTTTCACAGAGCTCAGGATTGTGCTATCCTAATGGAGAAATCCATAAGGCTCTTTGTTTTCATAAGCTTTATCCTTACTGCCTTTTTTTTTTTTTTTTAAATGGTCAAATTGTTCTAATGTCGACCGATTGCTTTTATTGTAAGTAAACGTCTAACTATTGCATTTTCTTTAGAAGGAATAGTGTCAATGCCCAATTCATGGAGCACTGTCTAGGACCCTGATTTTCAATGTAGCTTAATTTTTCAGAAATCAGTCTCACCCCTGTAAGCACCAAAGATTGTGTTTTACTGTTTATTTAAGTGGAAAATTTTGTATAGTATATTTCTCAAATTGGGTCTGTAAGGCAGTAAAACATTTTCCTTCACCCTCTTAGGATACCTGGCTTGGTCTGAAATTTAAACCGACACAGACAGATTAACAGGAGAAAAGCAGACGGATTTACTTAATTAAAATTTTACATGACTTGGGAATCCTCATAGGGAAATGAAGTCCAAAAGACATGCTGAAGCCTGCTTGCTTTTTTATGTTGGGTTGAGCAAAGAGAGGCAACTGACTTACTCGGAAACGGACTAAGTGAGGAGGCTGAAGGGGTGAGAACTATTGGAATGCAGTCTATTTGTATAGAAGTATCTTGGTCTCTGCTTGTCGCCCTTGATGATATGAGTGTTACCACTTTCCTTCCAGTGCAGAGAGAACCTCTTTCATATAGGGATTTCATCTCTTAACAAAAGACAGCAAGCGGTCAGAGTGTTTTTCTTGTATTTGTTGTTTTTCAAGTGTCTTTAACTCAAAATAGTAAGTCTAAGGGACATATTTTGGGCTGACGTGCTCTGACTTGGTGATTGAAGGCACATGATTTTGAATCTGATGGCCCAGGCTTCATTGGAACTCTGTGGCACTGTCCCTATAGAGAGAGGTCACCTTATCACCTAAGGAGCCATGCACAGTGTTGACCCCTCTTTGACTCAGCCCAGACTTGTCTGCTTTCATGCCCCTGGCTTTCCTCCTTACTGAGGGCTGTAGGTTATCATGTATCAGCTCTTTATTGCCTCTGCCTCAGACAAGTGCCTCATGTCTTCTTAGTTGTTCAGTGAAGTTGGGCCAAGGTGGTTAGGATAAGTGAACAGAGAAATACTCTCTGACCTCAAACTCTTGAGTTCTCAGTTATGGATTTTGCAATATAGTACATTTTGGCTATTTACTCTTTCTTCCCTGTTCAATAAAGTTCTCAGCGGTCCAGGTTGTCAGGTAAGTTAGATGTTATTTTGCTAACAATGGCAATGACATAACACCTTAAACATGTTTCCTGTAGACGTTTTTCTCTTGGTCTAATCCATCTGTATTTCTAGAACATGAATTTCAGATGTTCCACAGACATCAGTTTCTGGGGAATATGTTTCATCATTTAGTAATTTGTTAATTTACCGAAGTGTCTAGGTTAGGTGTAAAGAGTCTGTCATTGCTTGCTATGCTGCTGGGAATATGGGGAATGAAGAAGTGAATGAATAAACTTGCTTCTTTTCACACAGAAGCAAGTGGATTTTTGGTGGGATTAAATTTTTTCTCTAATTTGTTCTTTAAAAAATATTTTTAGTGATATCAACTCTAGTCACCATGTTTTACATTAGGTCCTCAGACCTTATTCATCCTACAGCTGGAAGTCTGTAACCTTTTCCCAACCTCTCTTTATTTCCTCCACTCCCCAGCCCCTGACAATCACTTTTCTACTCTGTTCCTATAAGTTTGACTCCTCTAAAGATTCCACATTCACATAGCATAATTTCCTTAAGTTGCAACTAGTTATCGCAAATACCAATATTTCCTGCTTTCTTATAAACGAATATTCCTGTGTGTGTGTGTGTGTGTGTGTGTGTGTGTGTGTGTGTGTCTGTCTACCACATCTTCATTCATTTATTTGTAGATTGCAGCATTATTTACAATAGACAATATTTGGAAATAGTTTCTTAGCTTTTTTTCCTAAGGGTGGTGTAAGAATGATCTTAAATAGCTTTCTTGTGTATATATTTTGTTTTAAGGAGATATAATTTACTCTTGCCAGTTGTTTTGAGAGACTGGTGTTCTTATAGTTTTGAAATATTTTTTCCCCTCTGCATCCAATGCACTGAATGGATGTGAGCTGGTCAAACCTAGGATTGCCACCCCCCTTTACTGTCTCAGCTGATGGTCTACATTTGCCCATCTATCCACTGTGAACTTTGCCCTCTGAATAGCGGATCTTGAATTTGATTCTAACTGTCCTCGTTAGACCAGAGCTATCATTACTCATCTAAATGGTACTATTGCCTTTGAGTCTGCTTTCTCCTTGGCTTTTTTTGAGCATCAAGACTCATCAACGATGAAACATCCTTTCCCAACAATCAGGGCCAATACCTGTTTCCTTTTTTCTCTTCTTTGTCTACCTTTTTCTGAGAGAAGTCTGTGCCCGCACCCCTCCTCCCCCATTCTAACATTTATATATTTGCAGAATAGTCTCTAGCATAATCATTTTTTACTAAACTCTTAAAGGTCAGTTTTAAGAATGTGCTCAGAGGACTAACCTGTGAATAAACAGTCTTTGTGAGATATACTTTTCCTGTCTATGAGCTGAGTGGTTTTCCATTTGCTTTAATCAGTGTGTAGTTTATTGATGGAATGCACTATGCTCTACTCAAAAAGATTATAACAAATGAAGCCCCCCTTTTAATTTAGCTTGAAGAAAATGAAATATTTGAGATAGTTTTCCATTAGCTTAGTGTCAACCTCCTGAAAAGCATATGCCTTTATGTAAATTTACCTGTCTGCCCTATTTATAAATTGAGAATTAGTTTAATAAGAATATATCTGAGTATGTGACTATGGATGGGGGTTATGTTGCTGGGTGTGTGCATATGAGGGACCTCCATGATTCATTAAATTATAATATTCTCATAGTAAAGGTAGTTCATAAGATTTCTCTTTAAACATAGCATGCTCTCCAAAAACATACATTAGAGTATTTCTTTTAAAAGAAAGTACTGAGAATATTCACTCAAATTTATAGTACTCATTGTATTTTATTTTGCTTTTATTTTATAGTTTGTCACATTTTCTATATTTGTTACTAGAGCTTTTATTCTGATATGGTTTATGATTTAATTATCCACCAGATGTTGGAGTTTACATTATACTATTGCACAGAGGGAGAAAAATGGACCGTCACTTCCTTTGTAGTACAATTTTCTGCTCAGAAAGAGGTGGTAAAGTTTGGCAGCATTCACTTTGCAGCTCATTGTCTTTGTGCACGTTCAGCTGTCTGGTGATCACGTTCTGTTTGCTCCAAACTTGGTGCTAACGTTGGATAGTGAAGAAGAATGTCTCTGGACTTAGGGAAATCACAGTATGGATGGGAGAAAATGTCACTGGTTTTACCCCTAACATTTTCTTTCTTTTTAAAAAAATATATTTTATTGATATTTTACAGAGAGGAGGAAGGGAGAGAGATAGAGAGCTAGAGACGTCAATGAGAGAGAAACATCAACCAGCTGCCTCTTGCACACTCCTTACCGGGGATGTGCCCGCAACCAATGTACATGCCCTTGACTGGAATCGAACCTGGGACCTTTCAGTCCCCAAGCCGACGCTCTACCACTGAGCCAAATCGGTTTCGGCTACCCCTAACATTTTCTGTAATTTCTCTTTGTAATCATTTTAAGATCGATAGGATATTTCATTATCTAATTCCCCCCCTTCAAACCTTATGTTTCCCTATTTTTCTGTGATATTTTCATAATGATTGTGAGTGACTCCTGAAGTGTGTGAGTGACTTCCCTTAAGAAACTTAGCTTCTATCATCCAGGCTAATGATTGGTATGAGTTCAGATGATCCTCATCTGCTTTTTGTCAGCCACTATTTCTGCAAAGTCTTCATTTTCTCCAGTTATAAAAATACTAGAGGCCCGATGCACAGAGTTTGTGCAAGGGTAGGCATTTCTTCCCCCCGGCTGCCAGCACCAGCTTTCCTCTGGCACCTGGGACCTGGGCTTTCCTCACAGCCCTGGCTTTTTCTGGAAGGTTGTCCAGAAGGACATCTGGTCTAATTAGCATATTACACTTTTATTATTATAGACAACTTCTTCATTTTTCTTATCAAAGACAAATTAAAAAGAATTAGTTCAGTTTCTGAACAAGTTTAGTCTTCATTAATTCCACACTCTACTCCATTTTTAGCACCATTTTTCTTTTCCTAGTCTCCCCCCCCCCCCCCTTTGGTAATTTTAAAAGCTCATTGTCTCATGTTTGGCTTCCTTGGGGTAGCATGAATTAACTTGCTACCTCTAACTCCTCTCTTCTTTATGTTTTAGCTGACTGTAACAAGATCCTTTCCACTATTTTTGATCTTTAGTTCAAATCTCTTTATAGATATTTGAAGAGTCATTTGTGAAACCACATTAGGTGTTTCTTATTTATTATTTTTTTCAATTGAAGTTTTAATCCTGTGTGTGTTAATTATTTAATTATTCTAATATGTACTCCTTTCCCCTTTCACACTGATGGAATTAGTCCTTTATCCTAGAGCTTCTCAGAGTTCCTGATTCTTTAATATTTGATTTGTACTTATATTGTTAATAACTGACTTTCCCTTTTTTTTTTTTTTTTTTTTTTTTTTTTTTTTTTACCATCACCCAGTTCTGTCTCCTATGTTCTTTAGACCTATTTATTCATTTAAAGTATTTGTATTGATTTCAGAGAGGAAGGGAGTGGGACAGTGAGATAGAAACATCAATGATGAGAGAGAATCATTGTTCAACTGCCTCCTGCATGCCTGCTACTGGGGATGGAGCCTGCAACCTGGGCATGTGCCCTGACTAGGAATTGAACTGTGTCCTCTCAGTTCTTAGGTTGATGCTCAACCACTAAGCCACACGGGCCGGGCAATTTATGTATTTATTTTCTGTGATTGCTCTTATCTTCCCATTGCCTCCAGTGCAGGTCATTGTTTTCTCATAACCTTTTCTCAAACTTTACTGGCCATGAGTATCACCATGGAATTCTTGTTCTAAGCCCGCATTGCTGGGTCTGAGGCCCAGAGAGTCTAATTCATTTGGCTTGTGAAGAGCCTAGATACCTTCTTTTTTAACAGACACTATGAGGTGGTCCAGTGGCCACACCTTGGACTGCTGCTGCTGCCTGCTAATGGCAGCCTGTGCCTGAAATATAGCTGCCTGGTTTTTCATGTCTGAACATTCGTTTGTAAGTTAATTTATGAAATGCCTACTATCTGCAAGGCATTGTGTTGGGCACTCGAATATTGTAATGAACAAAATAGACTTTGTTTCTGATCTTGCAGTGCCAGTAGTAGAGATTGAATTTTTTTCATGTCTTCCTCATCTCAAAACGTCTTTGATTTCCTATTGTTTACATGGAACTGTTAGTCAGTTCTTCAGAAGTTTTGCTGATGGGCTTGTAGAACATAAGAGAGATGACTAGGAATCAGATTAGGATTTCAGGTTTGTTTTCCTTCTGACTGTGTATGTATGTGTTTCACTTACAAAAGCTGGGGGTTTTAAGCAGATGATTAATGTTTCCTTAGTCAATGTTTGAATCTCTGCTGAATAGTCAAGATTAGAGGAAAAATACCATCCTTCATCAGTTCTAATATGTCATTATTTATAAGACCCCTTCCAATTTCAGAGATGTTAAAATGTGAAATAGTGTGCTTCATATAATCAATACAGTGCTGCCTTTTGTTTTGTGTGTGTTTGTATTTATGAGGATCATAATACTACACAAAGCTACTCTCTAACTACTGACACGTAATTACCTAGGACCTTACAAGACGTGTCATTGATCTGACACTAATGAAAGAGCCAGGCATTATTAAGAGACATAAAGTCTGTAACACAAAAGAAGCCAAGATGAAGAGGGAGACAATCTCTCAGCCCTGATGACCTTTCCCACATTCACCCGAATCTGCTTCTCTGTTGGGCTGTGCAGGGTGCAGATTTCTAGCACTGAGGTAATCAGGGTGACTGTAATTCGTGGGTGACTTTCCCATCCATCACTCAATTCAGACAGCTCACAGGCACCAGAGTCAGCCCAGCACAGAGCTTCCGTGAGTTACAGCCTCTCTATTTATTGTATCCTTTTAATTAAATGTGCCCTCTGAAAAGCATTTTAAAAACAAGCTCAGTGATCCAGTTGAGTAATCAGTTACTGGCAGCCCTCTCCCACTCCCGCACAGACACAGCTTACTCTCAAGTCAGCCTCTCACACAGGAAACATCTCCACCTTTTAAACCTTTCAGAGAGTCGCCATACTTCTTGAAAACTACAAGGGATGTCTTCTTTTTCTTCATGTCGTTACTGGGTCTTACTGTTCCTAGGTGATATGTAAAGGATACAGAGGAAAGTCTAGAATCAACTCTGTACTTTCTGAAGGCTCTCACTCTCCTATTCTACACACCTTTGTCTCTCCCTCAGCTGGCCATTCACTTTCCTCTTCCTTTCAAGCATAGCCTTAGAGCTCACTTCTCATGCTGCGTTTGGTCCTCAGTGTTCCTGATTTGACTGGGGGAATTTTAGTACTACTGGGAAGTCTTAGTTGAAATCTCCCATTTCAAAAGTTGTAACTTTAACAGCTAGCGGTAAAAGCCAAATAAATGATATGGCCTCTCAGTATCAGGGGAGTTAGAGAGAGGCAAGATCACTGAGTTTTTGTAAAATGCTTCAGGATGGGAGTGGTATTACAGACAGGCAAGCCAGTGGGACTGGGGAAGCAGAACCAGAGAAAGGTAAAGTAGGAAAGGAGGAGAACTGTGTGGGAGGAGGGACTGTCCTTAACAGACTAGCACAGAGGGTGGACCTGCACAGCAGGTGTGAGAGGAAATCCTGTCCAGGTAGGTTTGGGCTGAATCTTTGGAGGGTCTAAGAATCCCAACTAAAGATGTTCAATTTTATATTTTACTAGAGGCACAGATTCGTGCATGGGCACTGCTCTGCTCCTGCTCACCCTGGCCTTGCTATGCCTGCCTCCACTGCCTCTGCGTGGTAGGGCTGCTGCAGAGGCAGGAGACGCTTGTGCCGCCACAGCTGCACTTGTCAGCCCTGAGCCCGGCTTCTGGTGCCTCAGTCAGCTGAGCGGTGCTCCTGCTGTGGGTGTCTTGTGTTGAATGTCTACACCCTGGTGGTCAGTGCAGTTCATAGCTACTGGCTGGTTGTCTGGTTGTCTGGTCGTTTAGTTGCTTAGGCATATATGTATACATACACACACACACACACACACACACACACACATATAGTTGGTGCAATCATTTCTAACACATTGAAGAGGCATTTTATCATTATAAGGCTCAAGTCTTCTTCAGGGTAGGGTTTAAGAATGGTACGGTGGGGCTGAAATTGCTCAGCCTTTGTGTGTTTGTGTATGAGTGTATATGAGTATAAACACAGTACACATATGAATGGGAGGTCTTGAGCAGGGCAGAGGAGAGTATGGCACCACTGGCAAAATTATCCTCTTGTCATAAACCTTGGAAAGCTGTGAAATGAAATTCTGACCTCATGGTCTTTGCAGTCTACCATCTACTAATGGTTCACCTGTTGACAAGTGTTGCCATGGGCAATGGAGAATCATTGGTGGTAAGTTTTGTTGTTGTTGTTTTTTTTTTTTTTTTTTTACCTTTATTGATATTTATTATGCTTTGGAGATTATTATATTTCGATCTTTGCTCCAAGAAGGCCAGCCTGGTGGGCAGTCAGACACTGACATGCGATAACATGACTGCCTAATGGCACAGCATGCTGAAGAGCTGTGGGAGGAGAGCTGCAGGTTCCTACATCTGCTGGGGACTGGAACAGGCTCAACAGGAGCTGGAGAGCGACCACACAGTCAAGGAAAGAACCCTGTAGGGAAGGAGGGCTCTATTTACAGTCCAGGGAGAGATAGATGATTAATGAAGTGGAATATGGAGGAGGTGATAGTAAATGGATTTTGATTACAATAAGAAGGCATTTGAGGGGTGTGAAGATTGGCTGGACATTGAGAAAAGAAGTAAATCAGAGCTGACCAAGTAATCAGTTTTATGTAACTAAAGAATGGTGGTACCATTTGTAATAAAGAGGAGATGAATTTGTTTGCGTTTGAGATGATGGCATTTCAATGGGAAGCTTGCTGTGAAGATGGATAAGCTTGACCAGTGAAAGATGAGCGCCACACATCACAGAGGAGGACTGGCATGATGATGTAATCCATAACACTAAGCGTGTGTCCATGGGAACGGGGGTTTGTCACCTGGTGAGGTGGCTGTGAAGGGAGGTATGGAGGGAGTTAAGGCAGTTCATTTCCCTGTAGGGACAGCACCATAGCTTCTTTATGTAAGATATTCTTCTGTAGGCGATGACGTGGCCCAGGAACTTGTGCATGGACTGATGTGGAAGCTAGACAAGTGGGAAATGTAAACGGTGCTCCAAGCAGAAGGATGGGTTTCCAGGGAATCCTAGCAGGAGAGCCCAGCACAGGGGGAAGATGATCAGTAGGCAGACTGGCCTCTTGGCAGACTTTCTCATGTGCAGTGCAGAAGATAGGCTCATCTCCGGTTTCTTCACCAGAGAGCAGCTGGGGTAGCCTTGGATGGAGTTAGAAACCAGGCTTCGGGGTAAGGATTGGTCTAAAGTGTTTAATAGTTGCCTTGAGTCTGTTACTACTTCAGTTGTGATGGTGGAAACTCAAATACCAGAAACTCGCATATGACCCTTTCAGTGGCCAAGCACGAGGGTACGGAACCCAGCCAATGCTCTCTCTGTGTGAGTGTGTGTCTGCTGCTCCTTAGGTCCAGGAGCATGCCTGTTATCTTGTTTCTCTGGGTGTTAGTAGGTGGCATAAGTGTTCTTGAGGAAAGATTTCCCCTTCTTTCTGGCTGAGATGAGGGACCAGAACTACACATAGTACCTATTCTCAAAGTCATATTCCTAGAAAAGTTGGATGCAAAATGGACTGTGGTGGTTAGATAAGGGTTGTCTTCGGTGTGCAGAAAGCTCAAACTGCACAAGGAGCACCTGCAAGGAGAACATGGTGACAGCTGAAGAAAGCTTGGGGTAGAGTGGAGCCTTATTTTGGTTGTGCCAGGACCTGGGACAAATGACAGACCCAAGTCATAAGGGAATTATGACCACTTTCTAGTCTCTTATTCCCAGGAGACCTGGGTATACTGATATCTTGGCCCAAAAGGTAAACTGAGAACCAAGCCAATCCACATCAGAGAGAGGTGTGGCTCACTCACTGACTGTGCATGGCCAGGCGTTCAATTTGAGGGTTGTCTTCAGGAAAAGCCAAATTGCAGAGTTGAGCTGGCTGGCCAAAGGAGGTTTTAGCTCAAAGGAGCAAGGCAGATTCTGGATAAGAATGAGCATAATAGACTGGGGAGACCAGAAAGGAAGGAGTAAAGCAGAATGACAAGTAGAACCTAGAGGAATTTCCTGTGTCAGAGTGTGCCTGAGAGTACCTTCGTATAGGGGGTACTTTGGTCACAGATGCGAAAAGGAGGAAATCTTTAAAATCTGATCGATTGTGGGTAGTTTATTCTTTTTCTGTTAATTTTATTAAATTGTGCTCTCTCCATATGCCTCTATTTGGGCACACATTTTGTTAGTTGGAGAGCAATACTTATTATTGAGGACTACTTTGTACCAGATAATGTTTTCCATGTTGTTCACAGCAATGAACAACATAGACAGAGTCCTTTTCCCCATGGATTGTGTAAGCTAGTGGGGGAATGGAGATAATAAACACATATGTACATCCAAAGATAATTTTCTTCCTGATGAGTTTCTTTGGAAAATATAAAACAGGGAACAACACAGCAGGGTGTGATTTGTTCTCACGGTGTCTTCTACAAGCTACAGTGGACAGCAAGCTCTCTTTGAAGAGATGACAACTTGAGTTGAGTCCTGATGATAAGAAAGAGAAGGCCACATTAAGATTTGGAGCAGGGAGAGGAGAACTGGGGCTGGTGTTTGGCCATATGAAGTCTGTGGTGCCTGCAAGGCAGATGCTGAGCTGGCAGGTAGGCATATGCTTCTGGGTGCTCAGGAGAAAGCCCAGACTGATAGGTGAGTGGTCTTATCAGACAGATTATATCTAAAGTCATAGGCTGAATGCATCTCAAACTTACACTTTTTGGGGGGTGGCTGGGTGATGGGGCTCTTTTTGACCATGTCTATTTGCCTAGAGAGAAACTGCATATAAAATTCTTATTTTAAACAGAACAGGCTTTTTTTAAAGTAGGTAGAACTTTATGGACATGAATATTATTTTGTATGTGTATATATTTTTTTCATGTTTCTGTATTATAGGTACCTAGTATACTGGTTGCTAAATTCCTCCTACCATGAACTTGGTTCTAAAAGACAGCATTTCTCAAAGTTTTCAACTTATATCTTGACAAATTGAAAATTTTATAACCTCATTATAGAATGTACTGAAGTGTGCATATGCAGTCATAGGTTTCTGATCTTCAGATTTATGAGTCCTGGAAATACCTCAGTAAATATTGTGTTTGAAAAGGATTGCTGGAACATGTGTGAAGTGCTTTACAGTTAACACACATCTGAGGTTCCAAAAGCCAGTGATGGGGGAAGGTTGGGGTGTTCTTGACTTTACAATTGTGTAGAATAAGACTTAGGAATTCCAAGTAACCTGTACAGGATAACACAAGCAACCCTCCAGGTGATACTATGTGCAGTGGTGGAGGTGGGATGCACTGCTTTATACAAACCAGATTATCAGGAGCTTTGTTGATATCAGGTATGTTATTTCCTTAACTCTGAGAGATTACCGAACCAACCATGGACACTTTCTTTCTTTACTTTTTTCTTTCTAATTTATTTATTGATTGAGGTATCACATATTTGTCCTCATCCCCCCATTCCCATCCCAAGCCCCTCCGCACGTATGCCCCCACCCCCCTGTTGTTCGTGACCACTGGCTAAGCCCATATGCAAGTAGGATACTTTCTAATGATGCTGGTAAGGAAGCCTTTCTTGTCTTTCCAGTAAAGCCCTTACTCTTTTCTTATTTTAGATTTTTAAAATTCATTTGAAGAGAGAGAGAGAGAGAGAGAGAGAGAGAGGAAACATTGGTTGGCTACCTCTTGCATGCCCACTATTGGGAATTGAGCTGCAACCCGGACATGTGCCCTGACTGGGATCAAATCTGCAACCTTTTGGAGAATGAAATGATGTCCAACCAACTGAGTCACAACAGCCAGGGGGATCTTACTTTTATTGTACTCCTTTCCTGTCTGGTTGTGAGTTTGAAAGCATCACACAGACTTCCTCTGGCATCGCCATTCTCTCTGCCTGTTCCTGAGACCAGGGAAGCTGGATGAACCCTTTTCTTCCCTCAGCCCAATACAGTTACAACCAAAAATGGGCAATGCAGCTCTTTTCTCATTTAAAAGGGGATTTTGTTCAGTTTTGTACTTTTTGCTTCATTCTTTGTGCTGTGAACTTCTCTCTGGTGATTTGATCGTGCTTCTCATGCAGGTGTGTCTGTAAAATGAATATGGCTTCTCCAGCTGGCTCACTGTTAGCCTGTGAGTACACGCCTGCTTCCAGCTCCACTGGAATAGTGCTGCTCAAGGCGTGGCCTCAAGCAGCACCAGCGTGTTCTACATTATTGTCCTCAAGGAAGTACGGAGAGAAATTGAGCTTGAGCATTTAGAAACTCAGAGTGATTGGACAAAGTAATCTTATGTCTGTTGGATTGAAGAGTAAAATAAAACTGAAGCTTTGATTTTTTTCTTTTTTTAATTTTAAAATATTATTCTATTTGTATTTTATAAGAAGAGCAAAACCAACCCCTTCTTATTAATAATTTAGAGCCGTGGTCTAGATTTTAGAACCCAGCAGGGACTGGGAGGGTTAAAAATCACCCCTACTTTTTTCAGAGGTGTAGTGATAAGATTCCTGATTTGGGATTATTTTGAGGATGTAGACTAACAAAACTGTCAAGTGGTGAACTTCAATGTACAATATAACATTGTAGATGTGTTTCTGACACTTTAATTGCCACCTGTCCCCCTTGGGCTGCAGCTACATTTCCATATGTTTATTTCACCTTTGAAGACACGGGGGCACTTTGGCAGGTGTAGTATTGGATTTTTAACCATGAGTCAAGAACAAAGTGGAAAAATCGTTTTCGGTTTGCTTTGGCAGCTCATGTTTCAGTTTTTAAGTGAGTCTGGCCAAATCAACCAAGCATTTCATCATTTTTTTATATTCAGATGTCTTTTGGCTCTGCACTGTTATGCTCTAGAAGACATATCATTTCTAACACATGTGGAAATATGGAAACAGCAATGTTGATCCTTTTCTCTTACACATTGTTTTAGGCAATGAGAGGCATTTGCTCGCTCTTCCCCAAACTAGACTATATAAACCTTATAAGAAGAGATTGGTTCATTTACTGTTCTTCCTGTAAAGTCTGCTGTGAAATTTCCCTTCTCCTCTTTTTCTTATTTCCTACTGGAAGAATAAGACATGCACATTACAGAAAATTTGGGAGATAGAGGAAAATAGGAGAGTGAACTTTTCCATGTTCCCAGATCTAGAAATACGTAGCTTTTGTTCACATTTTAGTGGATTTCCTTCTCCAAATTTTTGCTTCATTAAGATTATACAGTTTTCATCAAATTGGCAAGAGAAAATTCTAGACCCTTAACTTAAATATGGCATTTTATTCTGCTTATAATTGTAATTACATGGTCCTTATAGACATGTTTAGAAAGTAGAGAAAACTTATAATGTATAAAATTTAAAAATCATCCAGAATCCAACATTCCAGGGATTATTTTTAATTTGTACTTATATGTATTTACTTTTGATTGTTTTAAAAGTGTAGTTGAGTTTATATGCTGAGTATTTGTAAGCATACCTAATACAGCCATAATCATGGGATCTAGATGAGAGAAGAGTTCATTTAAAAAACTAATGGTAATATTGTATGTCAACTGTAATTTAAAAATAAAAATATTAAAAAAAAGGATGATTCAGAATGAGTGTCAAAGATGTAAAAATTAATTTCTCAAGTTTCCAGGCAAAACAGAAAAGAGATGATTATGTTGCTCTATATATACTGTTCCCTTTTAGATAGAAAAATACACTTTATTTTTAGTAATTCTTCTGAAGTATTATCCCAAGTGTGTTTGAAATAGTTGAACCACTATTGGTGAGTAGTTGAAAGGAGGATACTGCTATTTTCTTGAGTGTCCATTTAAAATATTTAGACTGTGGGTCAAAATAAATGACTGTAGATGGAGAGGAATGGCACAAGTCAAAGAAGCCTTTACTGGTTACTTATTTTATGAACTCTCTCAAAATTATGTTTTCTGAGCTTTTAATTTATTTTTAAAATATTTATCTTTATTGTTGAAGGTATTATATTTGTCCCCTCTGTTTGTTTATTTTCTTCCCTCATTGACACCCTCCTCCCTGCACCTTGTCTGTGTCCATGGCCTATGCATATATCCAT